CTCAGCCAGCTTAGCTGGCTGAGGAATTCTGGGAGTTGAAGTCCACAAGTCTTAAAGCGGCCAAGGTTGGAGACCCCTGGTTTAGGGGGATAACATCATAGTGTCTTCCGATACCTGAGGGACAGTCACATGAAGGAGGGGGTTGACTTTTTCTCCAAAGCACCTGAAGGCCGGACAAGAAGCAGTGGGTAGAAGCTCGTTAAAGAGAGATCCAATCTGGAATTAAGGAGAATTTTCCGGGTAGTGAAAACTATCAATCAATGGAACAGCTTGCCTCCTAGAATTGTGGATGGTCCATTGTTGGAAGTCTTGAAGAAAAAAATTGGTCAGCCATTTGTCTGGGATGTAATAAAATGTGCTGTGGGCAGGGGGTTGGATTAGAAAAGCTTGAAGGCCCCTTCCAGCCCTATGATTCTATAATTCTCCAGACATGGGACTAGAATTCATATGTAGATAGTTCTCAATTTATGGCTGTTCATTTAGTGACTATTTGAAGATACAACGGACTTCTCAGGGCTACTTATGACTCAGATTCAAAGTTCTGATGGCCTCTGCCTGTCACATGATCAAATGTTGGTTGTGTTTGCAGCATCCCATGGTCATGTGACCAGGACTTAGATGATTTTTGCCAGAAAGTGGTTGTTACTTCCTGTTTTGGCAAAAAAAACCAACCCAAACACGCCCATTGTAGACAAAGGAATTGTCTAACAATAATGGCATTCCCTTAATAATCGCTGCAAAACCGGTCTATAAAATTGGGCATGGTCACATGCTGACCCATTTAACAACCGACACAACTTGTGATCATAATTCCGGGCTCAGTGATGATCGTAAGTTGAGGACTAACTATAATCCATTCTGATTGGGACTGCTTTTAGATCTTGTCCAACAATACCTGGAGTGATAGATCTCTCCCATCCCTGCTCTGACTTCTACAATATTCAGGCAGGTTCAGGAGACAATGGCACTTAAATTAGTCTTCCGCAACTTGTAGTCCTGCAGTTATTTTGGCTTATTGCTAGGAAAGAGAAGAATGGAATCCTGATTGGAAATAGTAAGACGGGAAATCCAACCTGTTTCGAAGATGCAGGGGTGCAGAAGGCTGTGGGAAATCAGGAGAGTCAGGCAGTACAAATGAATATAAAGATTTATTGCAAAGTTAAGCTCTCTAAAGAATCTGACCCACTGGCAGTTAAGGGAAATGAGTGGGTGATAAGAGAGGCATTCACAATAGACTGGACTTTGATCTCGTGTGGGCACGCAGGGACTCATGGCTTATGACGCATTTGACTCCCCCCCCCCCCCCCCCCGGGCTCAGCCTGATCTTGTCCTACATCTGCCCGCTGTTCCTTTA